GCGGCCGCTGGATCGTCGCTGGGCGGGAGGGGGCACCGGGGGCTGGGGGGCGGAATGGGACCTGCTCGCTCGAACGGCCGCATAGATCCGCAGAAGTGACACCCAAAAGATCCAAGGACAGGTTGCAAGGGCCTGTCGTGGTCACATGGCCGGTGAGTCGTCCGCAGGGCTGCCTCTGCGGTCCCGGCTGGCGTCGCGGGTACCGTCAAGGTACGGAAACCTCAGCCGTACATTACTGCCGTGGTACTCTGTGCTGGTGTTGGCTGGATGGGTATCGAGGGGTTGGCCAACCCACTTCCTTACCACTGGCTGGGTGGTTTGGTAGAGCAGCGGGACATCCCATCAGAGGTACCCGTTCGACACCCGGTCAGACATCCTCTTTGCCATCCACACTCAAACGGTTGGAACGCGCTTTCCCTGTCCGCGCGAGGCGGTGCCACCGACAGCAGACTGGGTCGCCTTGGTTTTGGAGGCCGGGTCACGAATGAATGAGAAGGGAAGGCTATCGCTCGCGCGTGTGGTGGACGCTGAGAGCCAGATGGCGCGGCACGGACCTCTCTCGAGACGTCGCGGTTCAAGCCTGTTGCGGCATGTCGGACTCCATTTCTGGCTCAATGCGCTGGAGCCGAAGACGGCTATTGACCGAGGTGCGTGTGTTTCACAAGGTCATGCAGGGGCGGAATTGTGTCCATCGGAGGAATGCAAAGCCCTCCATGTGAACGGCTTCCATTTGGGGTGTCCAGAACATTATGTAGTGCTTCCACATTTGCCACTGTCCGGAAAGCCCGCCGTTTCGTTATGCCATTTGCTCTTCCAAAGTCTTTGTTCACCTGTTGAGAGCCGCAGGGGTCCCCAATTCCCGACCCCCACACATCCCATCATCCTTCAATCGCTTATAGTCCTGCTGGACAGAACAGTAACATAACCTCAGGACTGGAGCAGCCGCCCTTCAGCTCACTCCGAACGGGCACTCCTGAATTTCCATGATTGACGTTTGGCAACAAGATGCCTATGGAGAGTGTCCCAAGGCACTACTGTTTGAGCAGGGCAATGTTTCTTCACCTGTGTGAGTGCTGTCATGATTCTGTCTCCAATAATTGTTCACGTGTGTCTATTGTGTCGAGGCCAGGAAGAACCCTCCAACCCCTTGTAATTCGTGGCAGTTTTGTTCTCTAGGTGCAAACTATTTCACAAGCATTGAAGGACATCCTAGCTCAACAGAACAGGGAGTGCAGCCGTGATGGGCACGTGCCACGAATCGGCATACTCCTTGGTCAGACGCTTGAATGTGTGGCAGGCATCTTGGGCTCCATGGCTGCAGGGTATGGCTTCGACAATGTTTTTGATGCCACGCTGCCAGTGTTTAAGCTTGTTGTGGCGGCATTTGTTGCAATAAACTTCGTTGTTTTGCATTATTACTCCAAACCACTGGATCAGGAGAACACGATAAGTGTTGTTGCTGGTCTGATGATTACCACGCATATAACCTGTTGGTGTGAGCGCACAGTGGAACATTGAAATCCTAATTTACCATCAACACCAATTATCACTGCCATTCCACTCTGGATGTCACTGGTAGCTTTGCCTTTGGCCATCTTTCTCACTTCTAATGTGTGCGCAGGGCGGCATTTGTCCCATTGAGCTCATCATGGCCACTTTCGAGGTTGCAGTACATTGCCAAAGATGCTGACTTGGATGCTGTGCTGTGCACTGGAGCCACAACAAAGCAATCCCTTGTTGAGTCATTAAACTGCAGCATCGTGGAGTACCCACACAGTGCCTCAGCTCAACAACACCTTGACATTGACGAATCAGCACATGCTCAAGGTGGAGAGGGGTTCGCTGGTGCATGCTGCTAATTGTGCTTCTCTACAAGAACCACATGCAAGCAGGCAGGAGTAAGTTATGTGCAATCCTAGATAGTCATGGCGTCGACACTATAGTGCACCTTGGGAAGCGCAACACCACAGTTTTTCTAGCTCAAACAATCAATGTCCATCAAGTAACAATGGACATGGGGGTTTCAAGAAATGGCAAACTGACCTTTGACTTGGTCCTCCATATGGACTGTATCCAGGTGCAGATCGAGACTACTGTTTCCTACCGTTCTCGTACATCCTTTACACATCTGGCTCCACAGGGCAACCCAAAGGCGTTGTTGGCACAGAGGTTGGCGTTTTGAACCGGTGTGAGTGGTTTGAGAGCTTGTTTTCGCTTGGAGACAATGATGCCGTGGCATGGAGGACACCCACATCGTTTGTTGACAGCCTCTGGGAGATCTTTGGGCCTCTATTTGTGGGCGCAAAGGTCGTGAATATCCCCAGCAACATGACACCGAACAAGTTCGTTCAGTGCCTGGCTGAGTGCCGCATCACACACTTGGTGAGTTTAACTGCTAGTGCTGAGTGGTGGGGCTAGTTCACCTACTTGTGGCAGTATGTTGGCAATCTACATGCTTGGCAAGTTGCCATTGAGTTGGTACGGCGTTGAGTTGGCAGTTCAATGTTTTTTATCCTGGACTTTTTTATCCTGGATTGCAGATGAAAAAACTGTCATTGCAAGATAACAAGAGAAGTGGGTGTTGGTGGACAGTTACTGCCAATGGCGTCATCTGCTGAGTTGCAGATGTTTTTCGGCAATGATCGTGCAGGTGGGCACTCCCTCCCTCCTAATCAGCTGGATGGAGGCATTTGCAGAGCTGAAAAATCGGGGCATCGTTCTTTGGCTGCGATATTTAATTTCCAGTGGTGAAACTCTGCGTGTGGACCTCTTGTGCTCTCTGAGAAAGGTCCTGCCAGATGACTGCAAGATCTTCAACATCTATGGTAATTTGTGTCATATCGCACTTTGCTTTTATCCATTGCTATTGCACTGTCTTGAACGTGTGGCATACTGTGTCTTTGCTGATTGCAGAAGAGGGCACCTCAGCCAGTTTTGCTTTGACACGTTCAAAAATTGCTGCAGGTTCGTTCCAGACCCAGTAGTTTGGGTCTTGAAAGTCTATTTCTCCTTTTCCACATTTCCACCCTGCAAATTCTGGTTTCTGAAGCTCAGCAACTGCAACATGTGGTGCACTGTGGCGGACTGCAGGCACAACAGAGACTGCAGCTGACTGCACTTGGTTTGACACAGCTGAACCACTAAGGGATGCCAACACACACAGCAATGGGCAGCAGCATGTGCCTGTGGGACGCCCAATCTGTGGATTCACTGTTGCTGTTGTCCAGCGCATCGATGCTGAAACAACCCGTGCGGCTGCAAGTGAATGCCAAACTGATCTCCCACAGCGGGGTGCGCTGCCAGAAGAGCAGCCCCCTCCACTTGGCCCTGGACTAGAGTCAGCTTTATATCAGCCTGTAGCATTGGGTGTTTGCGGTGAAGTCTGGGTCAGTGGGCTGGGGCTGGCAACTGGATATACAAGTAGGGAGCTTGGACAGCCCCGATTTGTTGATGTTGACTCTCAGGCTGTCTTACGATCTGTGGAAGATCCAAAGATGAGCGCCAGTGCTGCTGGGCCTTGTGCCGAACAGCGCAGTCCACAAGGCAACACGGTTTTCTTTCGCACTGGGGACTTAGGCATTGTTGATGATAAAGGTGAGTTTCTAAGGATGCATCCACGCCTTGGTAGCTGAGAGTGCCAAGGGTGGCTGCTGTGCTGCAAAAACCAGCAGCATGTGACTGTTGTTTAGCATTTGAATGAATGTGGAATAGGAATTTGCGTGATATATTTGTCTGTAGTTCTCATGTGGGACACATCGCCAGTGTGCTATTCTGCATATCCTGGAATGTGCTGTCTAGTTCTGCTCATTACTGTCAGGTGCCTGATCTGTTTGCCACTGGCATGCACCGAAACTAGCTTTCTTCTCTTGCTGCAGGGCTACTGACGATTGTTGGCAGGGCAGACCTGCAGGTGAAAGTGAATGGTGTACGTGTTGATGTGCTGGAGGTGGAAACAAGACTTGAAGAACATCCAATGGTGACCAGTGCTGCTGTCAAGGCGTGGCCGACCCCAGTAGCTGGAGGTCAAGTACTGGTCGCCTACATTGTGCCCACTGCACTTCCTGCGCAATACAATGCAGGCACTGGCTCTGCTGGTGCCAATGACTTCGAGAGCCAGCTATTGTTTGACCAACTGCGCTCTTGGCTGGGTAGCAGTCTACCCCAGGCTGCCATACCATCCAGTTTTCAGATTGCAACTCAACTGCCTAAGTCCTGCGCTGGAAAGGTTGCACGGGGCCAGCTGCCACCTCCCAACTGGGCCAACCACCAAGCACATTGGAAACCGAAATGGGGACAACAGAACAGCACAGTTGCACCACCGCATCCAGTGGAATCTGTGGATTGCCAGCCAGTACATTCAACAGATGCCTATCATGAAACTCTGGTTACTTGCAGCCAGGCACCTCCTGAACATGGCGGCCTTCGTTTCACCGATGGCACTGTTAAGGGGAATACAAGCCAAGGGCAGATGGCGTCGTGTGGTCTGGAGCCAATGGTGCTATCCGCTTTCGCCGATGTGCTTTGCTGGGGGGATTTTAACCAACGTAAAGTTTCCAATTTGGAGCCAACCAGCAATTTCTTTCAGCATGGTGGCACATCACTCTCTGCCATATCCCTGGCCAGCAAACTGAAGGTGGAGCCGTCGGTGGTGCATGCACTGCCAACCCCAAGAGAGCTTGCTCAGTTTATTGCAGGTGGGCATGATGTGGCATTGAAACATTTGCACTCCCAACACCTCCGTAGCGAACAAGACACACGCATGCCATCCTTTGTTTGGCTGGAACATCAAACAAGGCTTTGCCCAACGTCACAGGTGGGTGCCGTTGCACCAACGTGGACTTTGCGAAGAAGGGTGGCTGGGACTGGAGGTGAATATGTGGCCGGTGATCCCATTCTAGACGCTGTTGATGGCCACAAACAAGCTGCAACAACAACAGTCACATGCATGCAAAGGAGCAAGAAGCCCAAGTTGATGGATTCCCACAGGAACCAACAATATCACCAGGCAACTGAACTGACATCAGTCCAGCATTGCTTTGTCTGTCCAAAGGACAGCAATGGCAGGACTGTTTCAGACCAGGCGAACATCTGGAACAGTCGCTTGGAACATGGTGATCTTAGAGGCTGCCATTGCTATTGTCTATCCGGACTGAGCAGCAGCAAATTGGAAGGAGGCCATGGCCATGTTGGAATGCAGGCAACTGGCAGAGACGCATGGCCTTTGTCAGCTGATGGAGACGTGAGACTATCCTTGATTGCAACTCAAGCGCCAAGACCTCCACAAGAGGGGCATACATCACAGCCTCCATGCCACAACAATTGTGACGACGAGGGGAGCTTGTCAGCCCAATGGTCGCACCAAATGAGTCAATGCGTTGATGCCCCCCCTGTGGTCGTTCTTTTTCCTGCAACAGAAAATGAAATCCGCTGTGGTGCCTGTGCAAGCTGTGCTTGTGGCCTGGCTTTGGCCTCCTCACATGGGGGTGATGTTGCCTGCTTGAGCCTGACTTGCGGTGATGTTTTATGGACCACAAACGTTGGAAACAGAGCAGACGCCGGCCTGACTGTGACCAGTGACATGCAGTCTGTTGCAGTGGCTTGTAGAGTTGGCACGATCTATTTCCTTCGCCTGGTAGATGGCATCGTTCTTGGCCAAGTGAACGTGGGGGGAGAGATCAGGTCCCCCCCCTTAGTGGATCCATGGGAGGGGTACATCTGGGTGGGCACACATGGCCGTGACGTAGTTGCTGCAATGTCACCTGGGATCATCGTGCTCACACATCCAGTCCAGGAGCCGATCTTGTGTTCCATTGCTTTTGGTGGGCTCGATCGTTGTGTGTATGTTGCGACTCTCGGTGGAACAGCCATGGCCCTGCGCTTCAAGGGTGGTAGAAGAGGTGCAGATGAGGTGTGCACCAAGTGGGCGCACGAACTGGGGGCGCCTATCTTCTCATCACCGCAAGTTGATGGGGCTACTGGAATTGTGGTCTGCGCAACGGTGAAAGGAACGGTGGTAGCGATTTCGGCCTCATCAGGTTCGTGGTGTTGCCCAAAATTGGTAGTTGCAACAGTGGTTGTCTGTACAATGCCGCCATTGCAGATCACTGGTTTCCATGTTGACATATCCTCTTGTTATGAGTGACGTTCTGGTCCAGTTGTGATCAGGCCCAGGCCAAATTCCTGCCATGGATGCCTGTGCACTAGCATTCTGCATCTGTGTGCAATACCCGAAGTATGCGACTCGCCATTTTCGTTGATGCTGGGCACCTGGCTGGCATGCTGGGCATTTGATCCTGTTGTCGCCCATCACCTCCCCACACTGCACTTGTCGTCTGGTATTTTCCCAACCACTAGGACCAAAGTGTGCAAGGCGAAAGCACACAGGTTGAAGTTATTTGCAGGTTGTCCGCTGCACGTACGCCATGCATGGAAATATCATGAACCTGGTTGTTGATCACCGTTTTGCTTGGGATGTCTCCCTCTGCAGGTGACCTTGTGTGGGCGAGGAACCTGCACGCCACTGTTTTTGCGCCTGCAAGCGTGTCTCCCAAAGGGATGGAGGAGTGTGTTCTTGTACCAACCCATGCTGGGTCTGTCCACTGTTTGGCGCTGGCGACCGGGGAAGTGATGGCGGCGATACACTTACACGAGGGCCCAATTTCGAACCCCGTCTCTGCAGGCTTCTGTCTTCCTTGTTTGCACAGCAGCTCCTGTCCACTGATGGGCGGCGCCCCATCGGCTCGTTCGTGTGGGAGCGGTGGGCGTGAGAATGATTGCGGGGCAGTGGGGCCCGAGAGTGTCTGCCTGGTGGCTGTGTGCAACAATGCTGGTTGCCTGGTGATCCTGAAAATGGTGCATGCCCCCGAATTAGCGGTGCAAGTAATCGCGTCGTTGGAATTTCCTGGAGAAGTGTTTTCATCACCAACGATTGCGGCAGGAAAGGTGGTGCTGGGCTGTCGAGACGACCGACTGTACTGCGTTGACTTGGGGGCCATGATTCAGAGTTCTTTCAACAAAGAGTCACAGTGAGCCTGAGCCCCGTGATACTGGATCGGATGGGCAGCCTACTTGAACTGGATCCCATGCAGGGCATAATGGCAATAGAGGAGTGCTTCACTTCTTTCCCCATTGTGACGTGCTCTGTGGCAAAGAGTAAAGCTTTGAGGCTGCATGTCTGAACCGCGCTTCTCTACGTCCATGAGCGGACAAATGAATGTGTGTTGTCACGCGAAAGGCCAGCACTGTGGGACAGAATGGTCACTGTGTTGCAGCTGATGGAGAAATTCTGTAGAAGAACGCATTGCGCATATCCTTGCCCAATTATTGATCCTGTGTTGTCAAATGCCTCGTTTCTGTACTTGTTCGTGGATATGGCAGAACAGAGCAGGTCTGAAGCCTTCTTGTGATAGATAGAGTTAGATACATGGGGAGATGTGAGTTGTAGGTGCTGTACTGAACTGTGTTGGGAAAACAGCTACCAGTGCTTGAAGGGCTCCAACAGCTTCAGGCACATTTAGATGATCATCGGTATCTGAGAGGCAGATAATGGACACTTGCTTTGGCAGTGCAGTCCACCAAACCCATGGAAACAGCTGATTGCAGACGTGGGAGTATGGACGGCTTGCATCATGGCGCCTTGGTTACATTCCATATCAGCCTGGTGAAGCCACGTCCAATGGAAGATGTCAAGGCATTGCATTATATCAGTGGGCAAAGGCACATGCAGCCATCTGCAATGAAAGCATAATGTGGTCTCGAATCTAGAAGAAGATAGTGAAGAGGTGAGCATGAGCACATTGTGGCCGACAGGGCAAGATTGTGCAGTGCACTGTGAATTTGCTCAAATTAGGGTTCCGCAGAATATTCACAAAGCATAGGCATTGCATCTGCCATGACGTGTGTATCCACCCATCACGTTGCCTTTTCCCCTTCCAATGGAAGTTTCTTTACTCGATGCTTCTTCTTTTTCTCTTTGTCTCCACGTATTTTCTTCTTTCCATTTTTCCTGTATTCCCTCCCCCCCTCTCCCTCCTCCTTTCCCCTTTGCACTTTCTCCTTTCTCTTCTCCTTTCCCTCTTTCCCAGTCACTGTCATCACCTGCAATCATGGCAACGTGGCCAGTGGCGAGCATAGAATGAAACACCCACAATGGTATAATGCTGCCCTGACCATGGTTTCAAAATCATGGGAATCACACAAATTGTCGATTAAAGCACACGAACACTGTACTTCTTTTGACAGCAGAGCATTCAAGCCAGCTTTCCAGCACAAACAAAAAAATGCAGGTCAGACTTTCCTTGCAGTACAATGCCTCTGATCGTGTGCGCACACAAATGAAAGCGATTAGATCGTGGTGCAAATGCACACACATTTGCACACAATACACAGCACATACACTCAAACTTCAAATGCATCAACATACTTACATACCGTGACATCTGCACAGTGCACACAACACTCCAAAAGAAAGGGTACAAGACTCTGCTGCTCTGTGCACCACGCCACAACAACTTGCTATTGATCCCATACCTGGCTGCCGCCATCATCAGGGTTCTGCTGGTTTTGTTGTTGGTCCGTGTCCTTCGTTTCTTCATTTGCCACTAACAGCTGAGGGATGATCCTGCCACACATTGTCACTGGAAGGGTGCGGACAGTGCCTCCGTCCTCGGCGTTCAACACCACCGCGTCGGACTCTCCACCATTGTCATATGCAAGGACGGAAAACTGGTCTGCACCTGGGCACAAGAGAATCATGTCAAGACAAGTGCATCGATTGCATACAAAAACAGGCAATAGCAGGTTTCCCACAAATCTCAAATCAGCAGGAGCACGTACAGAGGCGGCTAGCAGCTGAATGGGAGTGCTGTGCCATGTCCCTTGCCACTTGAATCATTGCGGAAACACAGAACCAGGCAAAGTTTGGCCTATTCGCATGCAGGGCTTCCAGAGCTCTTGATGAGGAGACAGCATTCCCTCCCAAAGTCGTGCAAACTGCCACAAGTCTGCTTCTATTAAGAAAGGTATCCAACTTTGCACTTCTGCTTCCTGGAAAGCTGGTTGGAAAGTATACATAGCCCACAAATCCCCATTAAAGCAGAGGATGCCCAGCAGATGGGCAGGTACCTTCAGCATCTCTCAAACTTGCAATTCTGTCTGGCTCGATTTCGCACAGTTTCTCCATGTGCCACTCGTAGTCTGCCAAGTGCTTAAGGGGCATGAGCTGTGGACATACATCAATTCCAACGTCAAAAGAAATGCTCAAGCAGGCTTTAGTTGCAGTGAGTGTTCACTGGCAACAATCAAATCTGCACAAGACAGGCAGTGGAAAATTAGGCAGTAGATATGGCACGCACAGCACCAAAGGAAGCACACCGGTGACTACAATTAGCTTTCGTTGTGCCACAGTCTGAACATATCTTGGGAATGGACTTATGTGAAGTATTCGCAGAAAATAGGGGCGGGAGAACCACTCAGGTGCATGTGTTCCACCACCGGGGCACCTCTCCATGCCAAAAATAGCAAACATCTGCAGATAGTGGACCAAAGGGAAGCTGGTAGAAATACAGCGGACGTCCACAGCCTTCTGTTCAACTCATTGATATCAATGGTTTTGTACAATGCTGCTCTATCAACAATGCAAGGGAATACCTGGTACGGAACTTGCAGTAGCCAGACTTCCGTGTCGTCATTAAGCTCGCTAGCATCCAGAAATGAGCTTGACAGGCGTTCGAAATCCCCTCCTGGCACATACCTGGAGATCACAACACAGATGCCAACCACTAAATGATTGCAAGCTGGGGTAAAGACAACTTCCACGCACAAACATCCAAATATCACTCGGGAGACGACGACAGCTGGACAACTCGCCCACGTTTTGGAACTCCTGAACGTGGCCAACGCGCTTTGCGGTCAATGGAATTGGTCCAGGGGCACAATGCCTTTTTCCCCAGCGTTGGCGTTCAATACTGCTGCGGACAAAGCAACCTTTATGACACCCATTCAGGCCCCGCAACAGCCCTGTTTCGCCCTTCTTGATCTGTCTCACGAAGAAATGCGTACGTTAGGGGTGGGTGGGGGCGGGGCCTTCCGTGCCCATGCTGAGGGCAGCTCACAACGACGGCGATGCCACGGACACCCGGACACGCTCAAAGCCACAGCTGTCACCATCTGAGGCGATCTGGTCTTACTTCGACGGCGGTGGTGCAGCACATGTGTCTCTGCCGTCATTGTCGGTGCTGGGACCGCCACCCACGTGGCCCTCTCCCTCTGACCGGTCTTTCTCTTTGTTGTGCTTCTTGCTTTTCTTCTTCTTTTCCTTTCGCCCAGCGTGACCACCGACATCGGCGCTGTTTTCCTCGCTGCCCAGTTTTCTCTTCTTCTTCTTCTTCTTGTGTTCAGACTGCGAATCCATCTCCCGTTTCAGCTGGATGGGCAAGCCTGTGGCAGTGGCCAATGACGATTGCAGCAGAGCCCTGTTGTCAAAAGCACATCAGAGGGCTCTTGAGCCCAGGCGACTGTGAGGAGCGACGGTATGCCGTTCGGCGGCCGTCCCACTTGTCACAGCATCGGCCAAACACGCACCCCGCCTGTGCTTTGCGCTGTATCTCCGTTGCCCGCCTGACGTAACGGGTTGCGTTCTCCCAGTCGTGTAGCTCTGTACTGGACTGTACTGGACGCACGGGACGCTGGCAATTGGGCTGACTACATTTGGACGTGATGCGATGATGCCAACGGTATGGGCATGGATCATGGCAATCTGCGGGCCGCACCCGAACGTTGGTGGGGAGGCCAGGACGGGGGCCCACGTGCGGGCCTTTGCTGCCCGTCACTCGGCGCCGGGCACCCGCGCCTTCCGAGCGCCGAGGCCACGGGCGCCGCTGGCCCCCAGCCTTGGAGGGGATGCCATTCCCGGGCCTGCTCCCATTAGACCCAGGCGCAGGGGGAGACGATGAGTGGGACGCCGAGAGTGGGCCTTCAAGGGACGGCGGTCCGCTGCGGATGGGCAATCAGGGCCGTTGGAGGTGCCCGGGGCCTTGTCGGGAGCTCGCGGCGCGTGTGCTCAGATTGCAGTGGCGCCTGATCGTGACGATCGCCGCCGGGGTCGGGGTGCATGCCTGTCCCCGGCCGGAAGGAATCGACCCGGAGGGATGGGGTCTGGTGGCGGTGTTCGTCGGAACGATTGGTAAGCACAGTTCTGCGCGCGGTTCCGCTCGCCGCTGTGGCCCAGGCTGTGGAAGGCGGGCCGTTGGGGGCGGTGTTCGGCACGTTTGTGTTTGCCACATCGATCAGCGGCACCCAAGTTTGGACTTGCCTGGGCTGGTCAGCAAACAACGCAATGGCTTAGGGGCTAAACCACAGCGACCAACTTTGTAGTCTAACTGGAGCCGGTAATCTGAACGAAGGGGAGGTGGGACGGCCGAAGCTAACTTTCAACGCGGCTAGTCCCTCTCAGCTGGGGAGCTGGCAGGCCTTTTGGACGTTGAATAATCCCTTTGCCGCAGCAGCGAGGACAACAAGTTGTAGGAGGGCGAGGCTCCAGACGAGTGCAGGGCATGGGACAAACTAGCGACAGGCATATTGGAAAATGTTCCAGTATTGTTGTGAGCTCAGTTCAGTACTTGCGAAGCGATCTGCTGAGGTATAGAACGCTGGGGTGTTTGTTGCTGCAGTTGGAATTCTTTTGGAAACTCTACCTTCTGGAGCTTGTGCGCTGATTGGAGCTTCAATTGCTGTCCTCATTGGGAGCCTGCCTTTCAGCGCCGCATTCAAAGGATTCAGTAAGTGATGGAGTGTGCTCCTACATTGCACGTGTGGTTAAGTGAACAGCACATTCTCTTTCTACTGGAGCAAAGAACCTGGGAATCGTGGATGTGGCTGAAAAACGTGTTGCTGCTGTTGCAGGCACGATTAGGCTTGGGACAGACAGTGTCATTATCCAAAGAAGTCACACCTTGTGAATCAAGACAACTGACCGCAAGGATCGCTATGCACAGGAATTGAATGTGCTGGCTTTCATTTTTGCACTGGTGGAACCGAAGTGAAGTACAATGTGTGATTCTTCTGTGTAAGTAGCACAGTTTGCTGGTACAGTCTCTTGACTGTGTGCTTGTCCTCCAGGTCAGGAAGCACCATGGCTGATCACCATTGCCATCTTCCTGTCAACTGGCATTAACAAGATGCAACTTGGTCAACGCATCACGTGCAATCTGGTGTACATTTTCGGTTCCTCTGCGTTGGGCCTCACCTACAGTCTGGTCATCAGGTACTTTCCATCTGTGTGCTGTCTTTGCTGCAATGTTCTGTTTCACTGCTTTGCATTTGTCTGTTTGCTGATGAAAATTGCCTCCATCGAAGGTCAAAGACATGCATTGTTGATGCCCAGTTCACCGTGAATCGACTGGGTTGTTGCACCTTGTCTTTACATTGGAAATTCAGGTGAATTCCCACTGAGGCGGAGATAATTTCTTGCATCTTTTGACGATGGCAGTGAATTCCTTCTTGGCCCTGGTGTCCCAAACGTTGCTTCCCGGTCAGGGGCCATCTTGCTGCCCATAATTCGATCCATGGCAGAGATATGCGGTAGCAAGCCGAGCAATGGAACAGAGAAGAAGCTTGGAGCCTACCTGATGGTGACTTGCTTTCAAACTGCCGCTGTGACAAGTGCGACGTTTCTCACTGCAAGTCCCCTGAATCCTTTCAGCACCGCTTTGGCCAAGCATCAAATGCACCAGGTACATGGGGGCGTGGAGGGATGCCTTACCACTGAGTCACGTAAGGATAGAAACCAGTGCAGCCTAAGAGCTAAACATCACATGGGCATCTGCGTGTTTGCTGCATTGCAATGTGGACATGGCTTCTCTACCAAACGACTTGGCTGCTTTGGACGTTTTGTTGCATGTATAAAGCGCTGTCCTTGTTCATGATCTTCACCGTGGAACCTACGCATGCTGCCCAATTAAGAATGTGCTGACCCTCCAGAAACTATCACAAGTATGCTGGTAGCAAGCTGTTGGTGGAATTTGGCCTTGTACCAACATTTGTAGCTTGTCTGTGAAGGCAGTGACGCCCACTGCTTGCAAACAACACATTGTGCTGTTTTGTGCTTTCAGCAAATGAAGGGCCAAGCAAGTTGCAGCAAACTTTTGGCCTCATTGCTGCTCTTGCTGCTGTCCTTGTGGCAGAATGAATGCATGGAACCGGTTATTGGATGCTTCAACCCCAACATTGTACTGTGTGCTGTCTCCAGCAGGAATTTACCTGGCTGACGTGGGTGAAAGGCGCAATTGTTCCTGCTTTTCTAGACATCATGCTCATCCCACTTGTTGTCTGGGTCGTATATCCCCCACAGATGACTGATACAACTGAGGCCAAGTATTTGGTGAGTGGTGTTGCAAGTTTCTGAGTCTGAAATTCTCGAGTACGCATCATAGCAATGGGCTTCAGATGGGTTGGGTCATAGCCCAACGCTGTGGGCACCAAAAGCTGGCCTCTGCACCACTCTTGTGTCTGCGCTATTTGGGCATGGCCCCATTTCTGAGTAGCTTTTCTGCATTGAGCGGTGAAGTGCAGCTGTTTGGGTTGTGTCAATTGAAGGTTGTTGCATTCATGTTTATTTCGGGCCAGACGCTAACCGGGCTGTACACTCATTTCCAAATTTTTGTAGGCCAGTAATAAATTGCGCTTGATGGGACGCATGAAGCCAGAAGAATGGACAATGCTGGGAGCCATGGTCATCACGGTTGTCCTTTGGCTTGTTGGGCCTGTTGTTGGGATCAGCACGATTGTTGCAGCAGCCATTGGCATAATGATCGCACTTGTACTGGAGCTGATCGAGTGGAAGGACTGCCTGGCTGCTAAGACAGCTTGGAATACAATCACTTGGCTCAGTGTCCTGACTGCAATGGCCAATCAGCTAAGCGAAACAGGTGGGTCCTTGCAGCCTAGCTTACACTTAGAATCGTGCCCCATGGTGCCAAATATGCTCTGTGCCAGCTTTTATGCACATCGCATTGTCAGGGCTGGGATGATGGATTGTCAGGTCTGGTTGTTATTGGTGTGTTCCATTTTGGTCTTCGTTTGGCAATTTTGACCAGTCTCTAGACACTTGCATCTTGGCCAGACAGGACCAGTCGAATCCAACTAAAGTATCAGGGCAGATTGTGTGATTTTTTGGTTGTGCGGTGCACACACAAAGCATTGCACTGCACTGGGGAACGTGACAAGATTTGTAGCAACAGGTGCTTGTTGCTGGCTCCTCTAAATCTATTGTGTCCCTCAATGTTTTGTGTTCTGCTGTTGGCTCCTGATACTGCTCAGGATTGCCTTGAAGTCAACCCGCCAACTGTTTTGTTGCCCCCAGGTGTGACTGACGTGATGCAGAGACATACGTTGCCACTGCTCAAGGCTTTAGAATGGCACTGGTTTCCCTCTGTGCTTTTGCTGGCCATCTTGTATGTTTACATTCATCATCTCATTGCATCGAGCATCGCACATGTGGCAGCTCTCTACACGTTCTTCCTGGCTCTTGCGATGAGTGTTGGTGGTCCCCCACTGTTGGCATCCCTCATTTTTGGATACTTCTCAAACATGATGGAGACGATCTCTCCCTTTTGTGCAGCTCACGGACCACTGTTCCTTGGTCAGGGCTATGTTTCTCTGCCAGCATTTTTGGGCATTGGTGTCCTTGTGAGTGCGTTCAATGTGGTGGTATGGATGGGGGTGGGTCCTGTGTGGTGGTCATTCGTTGGGTTTTGGAATTGAAGGTTTCGCTGGGATCTGCAGGCAATTTTGACCCATGTATGCCATCGAATTTTTTTGGATGTCTGCATGTTCTCATTGATGCATTCATGCACTTTGATTGGGGTTTGTGCCCTAGTTCTTTGGCACCTGTGGCGTTTGTCATCGTCAGGGTCTGCACAGTTTTGGTGCAATTTTGTGATTGGCTCCATTGCATCTCCGAATGTAACGCATCTGGCTGGGTGCGTGTCCTCTGATGCCTGCATCTCATTGAGATGGCAGCATAGGTTGGTGACTTTACTTCATGGTGCATTTGGACTGATGCAGGCAACCAACCACCTGTCTGTGCAGGCTTGCATCACACCCGGCTGACAAAATAGCAGCCGAGTTTTGCAATGCGGTGGCCATATCGCTCTCGTGCCTATCTGAGACAGTCATGGACGCGACAAATGGGGCACTTAAAATGCCAGGAGTAGTCAGGAGTCCTCCTGCCAATGCAAGGACGATCACAATTTTCGTTGGTGGAGTAACCTGAAGCCACCACAGTGTCCCATCGTCGAGCGTCCCATTTGCTGAACTCTGCTCACAGCAGCCCAGTTGTCTGATCAGTTGAGCGATATTGTGAGCATCAGTACGGTTACCAAACACACGACAACGACATTCTATCTACAGCCATGCTTCGGTAAGACCTGAACTTGGAACTGGATGTGGCTTTGCATCAGCCCTTGGCCCTCCACCCTCATAGTCACATCCATGCAGAAAAACGCAAGAACGTTCTTTGTGGACTTCGGCTGCAGCTTGTTGTTTGTCAGACTGGCGATAGGCAAACTTTGCGGGCACCATTTTCGGGTATGCCACGAACTACGAATGGTGCAGAAGATGAAATCTCTTGGGGGATTTCCGCAACGTGCAGTCCTCGTTCTGGTGCGAGACATGGGGAGGACTCCCTGGAGCAGATTCCGAATTGTGGAACCTGTTCCTTTGGGCGGAGGATATGCTTCCCCGCAGCACCAGAATTAGTAGGCCGGTTGCTTTGGAATCCGCCGTTGTTTGCACACCTCAGTCCTAGCATCCTCGGAGGCCACCGGTGATGAAGGACGGCAGGGTCGAGGGGTGGCAACGCCTAAGGGGCCCCGCAGGCCTGAGAACACGGCAGCGGATTACAGCGGAGCGGAGTGTCTCTTGGGCCCCCCTAAACGCAAGGCCATGCGTTAACGTCATTGAACAAATAATGCCGTATAACCAGCCAACAGGATCGCATGAAATTAGGCGGTCCGTCTTTTTCCTAGAACACTGACCCGCTAACCCACGGTGGCCTTGTCACCGGAAGAAGGCGGGATCTTCACGGAAAAGACAGAGGGACTAATATATTCTCATCGAATCACGACCCCACCTGTTCAGCGTTTGCATGGTCGTCATCACACTTGCCCACCATCATCGGGGTGCGGCATCCTCATGGCGCGCGGCGTGCGGCCTGCGCTCTGGAAACGGCCCGCCGCGCGCCCACCTGCCGCCATCGAGGCCCCTCGCAATGGCTTCGGCGCTGGCGGGGAGCGCCAGCGCTGCTTGCAGGACGGCCGTGCGCTGCCCTCAGGTCGCCGCTGGGCCCCCCCGTGCCGACGTTGCTTGCCCTGGCGCGCTTCCCTCGCGACGAAGGGCGTTGCGATACGCGATTGGATTCACGGCTCTGATTGGAGGGTGGGGAGCCCAGGCGGGACTGCAGCCGGCAAAGGCGGCCACGCAGTCGCCGATGGAGAAGGTGGGCTGTTATTCCATTTGAATGGTTTGACAATGCACGCGTGCATCCACACCGAACACAACATCAAGTCAGGTCGCGATTCCCTTGTTTGTTCGATCAGTGTATCAACCAGAGCAACATAGCGTGTTGCACAAACAGCTCCTTGGTCTTGTTGGCCTATGCCCATATAAATGCCGACACAGAGATTGTCGAGCATTTCTACTATGGTTTCCGATTAGGCAGCAAGTTTCTGGCCCTTCGCACTGGGCACAACAAGTCAGCCAATCCGTGGACTCGCACCTAAAGTTCCATAGGCTTGTCCACATAGGTTTGACCTCATCTGTGCCCGCATGCAGTTTGTCAACAGGAACTTTTGCAGAGCGTGATTCGCCCATCAGAACGTAGATTTCCGTCATAATTGGCTGCCACCGTGCTGAAATTCGCGAAGGAGAACATTTGGCGTTCTTGCATTGGTGGTAGGCAGTATCTTTTGGTTATTCAGATACTGTATCCAAGCAGATTCGTCCGATCTCTAAGCAACAAAACGGCAACAAACTGGCTTAAGGCCAACAGGACAATCACTGCTGCTGTACAGTAAACAGCATATGTTGGAGATCATAGCTGATAGCCATTTTCTGCAGGTGCTGGACAACCCCAATTGGCCTGAAGAATATCCCCTGAAGGCAGACGACTTTGCACGCTACGATGAAAGCCCAGATGCCAATTTCTACCAGCAACCTCGATTTGTAACACATATTGACGATGGTGCGATCCATGCTCTTACACAGTAGGTAATGGCTACGGTGCAGGAGGGCCCTCGATGACAGCCTGTTGCATTGCTCCAGGTGCAATGGGCAGTGTTAACAGTGCCTATGGCTGCAGCAGTCTGGCCCACTTTGTGTGTGTCCATTTCTGCTCCTATTGCATTTTGTTAAAAATGACAAACATAACCATGCTAACTAAAAGCAATGTGCTATGCTTGTTTCAAGCAATCAACTGATTTGCCCCAAAGGCCATACGATGGCCACCTGTTTCAGAGCCTGGTGCTGGCCTGTTGTTAGTTCTGTTCTGTTTGAACAATTTGGGGAATTCATTGTGATAATTGGCCCCACAGGTATTATGAAACTGTTTTTCCACCCTCCGGTCAAAAGGACACTGCCCTTCTGGATATCTGCTCCAGCTGGATCAGCCACTACCCAGAGGGCTACAAAGCTGGCAAGATCAGTGGGCTGGGCATGAATGCAGCAGAGCTCGAAAGGAACCCAGCTCTCACAGATTGGACAGTACGGGACTTGAACAAGGATCCAACACTTCCTTATGATGACAATACATTTGATGTGGTCACAAATGCTGTCAGTGTGGACTACTTGACAAGGCCACTCGAGGTACAATTGCACTCGTTGGAGCTTGCTGTGGCAAGAAGGAACAGCAGATAATGCAACTTGGGTTGGGCCTGAGGAGTGAACTAATATGGCAGCAGAGTGAGAGGACCTGAGCCATGTTTCCCTGCATTCATGTATGCATTGAGCTCGGATAGAATATTTTGTTCATTTTTGTCACCTCTGTTGGTCAGAAGGAAAAATGGCATTTAAGCTACCAGCCAGACAAACCAGCACAGGGGGAGATGTGGAATAGGAGAATAGGTATGAAACAGTTGAGAGCAGCTAATTTACAGATACTTTGCATGACGTGCCACCTTGCAGAAGGATGTGCATTCCTAGCTGTTCTTGGTGCTGGTGTACCACAGTGCCATCGGTGATACTTTGGTAACTTTGCTGCAGATATTTGATGAGGTCCACAGGGTTCTCAAGCCAGGAGGCTTGGCGGTGATGAGCTTCTCCAACAGATGTTTCCCAACAAAAGGTCCAGTCCTGCCCATCTCTAGTTGCCAAGTCCTGATTGGCTTGTCTCGATGTACACTCCACTGCCTCTCAGCCATGTCCTGGGTGGCTTGTTGTGTCTTTGATGGCATACTTCTTCCCGTTCTGACAATTTTTTGTGTTGACGAGCTGTCGCTGGTTGGATGCAGCGATCTCGATATGGACATCAAGCAGTGACAGCGAGCACATCTGGATCGTTGGTTCATACTTCCATTACTCTGCTGGTGGAAAATTCGAGGAGCCCAAATGCAAAGACATCTCCCCACGTCAAGGGTTTTTCGGTGGGGGGGATCCCATGTACGTTCGATGCTGTTCTTGTCACCTCCATACCCTGTGAAGACTATGGGAGGCTCTCCTCTGTTCAAGATATCCATCCTGTACTTTGCTTGAGCACACATTGGATGCTCCCCCAAGCTTGATATGCATTCGTTGCTGCACATACAATGCATGGAAATTTTAATCCACACATTTGTTGTGCCCATATTTGCCTGTTTGCCTGTCCACAAAGATGGGAAGGCCAGTGTGCCGACTGTCCCAATGTGACTTGGATGTATTGCTTGTCTGCAGGTATGTTGTGTACAGCCGCAAGAAAGTATGATAAGTCAAAGCCACCCAGAAGAGATGTCTCTTTTTAGATTCGGGGCAGGGCAATTGCGAATTTCGTGTTGGAGATAGAGTGATTGCCGTGTCTAAAAGGCAAAGAATGTTCTCTGGGTATGCTGCTTCTGTGCAAGTCGCTCCATCTCTAAGGCTTGGCTGCTGGCCAAACGTAGAACTGAACATCCATCGATGGCACACTTTCTGCAAGTTCCAGATCTACATGGCCAAGACCTTGCGATACCGTCGTTGTTCTCCAGCTGGGAGTGCAGCACTGAGGAGTGGATCGATTGTAAATGAATTGATGGAGCACAGCGGATTCCCTTATTATGGTGGCGTACTGCAAGGTTGATATGTACAGACACATCATGGAGAACAACTGATACCGAGGCGATCAACCAAAATGAGAATCCACGAAATCCACACGAAGTCTTTCCTCACTGCTGCCCACATGATTCACGAATGCAAGTATGTAAACACTGCCATTTGTGCGCAGTAGGGTGTCAACACTGGCTTATGCCAGAGCATGGCAAGTGCGGATTCCCACTTGTACAGGAGCAATCATGGGATTCATTGAATATCGCACATGAGCTTTGTGGCACCATGCGTTGTCATGCAGAGCCGCCGGCCCACCTGCACATGACAAGTGGGTGGTGGGGGGAAGAGTTTGTGAGCAGAAATAAGACTCCCAAGTATGAAGGAAAAGAAGGAGAATTTCTCTCACCGTTACTGTATCTTCTCAGACCGACGCAATCCTCCAAGCACCATCGCTCCTTTGCCTAAATGCTTACCCCCATGGCGTTGTGCACAGCACGACTATGCGCCATGTAGCCATGACAATCGTGCAATGCAGATGCACACCAGCCAAAGAAAGCGGAGCCACATTGCATCTGGCAGCGGCTTCTTCGTCCTTGCTTCAAGAGCGAGCCCGGACTTGTCTTGGCATTGTGGGCCCCTGCTGGAACCGGAAGGTCGTTGCAATTTGGTTTCCCTTTTCCTGTTTTGCGCTCAGCACTAAGAAGAGATGAAGATTTTCAGCAAATAGCCAACAGCACAGCTGCTGGGCGCTCCAGCCTTTGCTTGGTCCCCAAGGATCATCCACAGCGTCAGCATCCTGTAATTAGACCCTCTGTCTTTTCCGCGAAGATCCCTTCCTGTTTCGGACACCGCAAACCCTAGACCACTAACCACTGACCCACTGACCCACTGACCCGCGTTGGCATTGTCAGCGGAAGAAGAAGGGATCCTCACTGCAAAGACGGAGGGATTAATGTATTCTCGTCACCTGTTGCTGGGATGTAGCTGCGCGTATGGCTCACTCGGTGGCCACGACCCCAAACCGGCAAGAAAATGTCTCCAAAAAAACATATCCTCAGAGGTTTGCATTGTTTAGCCGGCAGCAACCAGTTGCTTGAGGGGTCCAACGGTTGACGAGCTCTTCAGTGGGCCTCCAGGGCAGTCGGAGGGCTCTTCCGCCGGTTGAATGGCGATTTAGAGGCTGCCCCTTGTGAACGATCACAAGATCCCCTCTCTTTGACCGGCGTGGATCGAGATGGCCCTCTTCCATTTCGTCAACTGCGTGGCCTTGTGCTTCCTGCCCCACGCCGTCTACTACCATGCCACCGACATGTGGGTTCGCTGAGTCGAGTGTCCGTGCTCGTTGGTGGCTGCGTTCGCTCGCCGCACCTGAATCGCGGTTGTCGCCTCCACAGGGCGGAGTACGATGTCTTGGGCTCCGTGATGCACGGGTTTGCCTGCCAGCTGGGGACGGCATTCGCAAAGGTGCGGTGCAGATGCTCTGGATCGGCGATAGGCCTCTGGCACCACTTGATTCGGGAGTCCCAGGAGGGTCGTAATTGAGTGCCTTGTGCAGTTGAGGGCCTTTTGCGTTCTGTGACACATGGCGCCCATGCAGCCAGTTGGGCAGCAATACGGGGACCTGTACGGACGGCGAAAGGAGGATTGGGGTATTGTTATATGCTTACTGGCCATGGTGGTGGGGTTTATTGCCAACTTCCTGTGGTTGCGTGCAGATGGTGGTGCTTGCGTTCCTGCTGCCTGGGGCTGATGCTATTCACCAAGACTGGGCGAAGGTTTGTGGAGACACCTTGCAGCCTGTTTCGGAAGGTCTTGCACCAGTGTATCGGTACAGTGCTTTCTTTTGGCAGTGCCACTCCATGTGTTTGCATCTCTGGGCCACAAGACATACAAGCAAGGGGAGGAAATCTAACACCACCTGTCCTGGCCCTGGGGTGAAACGGCTGAACGATAAGCTGTGGCGTTTCTCAAGTGTTGACTGCTCTGTGGTGCTGATTCAGCAACAATCGCTGGGTACCATCACTGGGTACCAGGGCTGCTGAATATGGGAAATGACAACTGAACCAGGTAAACTGCTGTGGCTGCAGGACAGTGCCCAAATGCTGGTGGCCTTGATGGATGTGATCGGCATCTGGTTTGCGCTGGTGTCGAAATTTGCTCACAGGAATACTTCAAATGCGCATAAGTTCCAGTCTGTTGGAGTAGGTATGCGCAAATTTTGGAAATTCCAATGTTGGGCTTGCTTGTTGAGCAGAAGGCGCCTTGCCAAACGGCAACCTTCTTATTGCCGAAATCGTTGCTGCTGCTGTATGGTGTGTCGGGTTCAGATGTTGCAAACTGGTGATGTACTGTATGCTGCAGTGGCATTGACATTGACATGCCATGCTGGTGTGCACATTGGCAACGTGCAGAACAATCCAGGGTTGCTGTAGGCAGACTTTGGGAGCACATCTTCCTTGTAAAGACCGTGAATGCAAATAGACAATGCTCGGTATGATGTTTGGTTATTTCAAGGAACATCGCTTATTGCGGGCACCTGTGTATGTTGTTCAAGTTTGTGTTGCTGCCACTGCCATTGCATTTGCTCCATATTCGTCACATTCACATTTGAAGTAGCACCACTGTTGCCATCAGCGTTGCCAACTCTCCTGAAGCATTTATCAGACATTAATCCTTCCTGGGCAAGCTCCCAGGGACAATGACACTTTGTGGCTGCCTGCCAGGATGGGCATTTGCAGATTCCCTCCTGAAACGTGCTGCTCCTCTCTACCTGGGAGCAATCTCCCCAGAGTTTACCTATGATCATATTCAGTCGGCCATCAGATCCAACATTGTGCTGGTGAGGCCCTGGTGAGGGAGATTAGTTGCATTGTTGGTGTGACTTGGCCACTGGCATTTGACAGTGCCTGTGCAGTACCATGTGCAGACCATTGTTAACTTCTTGGCATGTGCCAGATCTACGGAAGCCGGTCTGATATCCGAACAATGTCAGAGAATCAGGTTGCGCTTTCTTGTTTAACCTTGGTGCTGACTCACCTGATGTGGCACCGGCATATCGATGTGCTGATATGGTGTATGTGTTGGGTGCGTTGGGGCTTTGTGGTGAATTGAGTTGGTGGGATGTGGGTGTTTTATTGTGCAACATATTCCTGGCTTAAAGAGGGCCTCACAGATGTACACCACATATGTTTTTGCTTGAATCATCATTCTGGTGTACCTTCGGCATCACATCTTTGTTAGTTGTCTTGCTGCTGACGCGAAGCTAGCATCATCCACAGTGGACCTGGATTGGCGATCGCCAGATTGTTAGCTTGTTGTAATGGCCCTATCTACCCTCATTGTACCACAGTCTGGGCCAGCTTGGTGATAGAAGTTGATGTAGACACTGGCAAAATTTCTGGTTGCAGGTACTCCAGTTTGTTAGGCCCTTATGACTGTGTGAGCCCCAGAGCTATACTGTCCAGCAGATTCTTCCTTTTGTTGCTGTCTTCTTGTGTCCTGACTGCTGGCTCAATGCGATTTGTTCAGATTCAGTCCCTTTCCTTCGCAGCTGTTGGCACCCTTCTCTGGAACAAGAAGTCGAAGCCACAAAGTTTGGTACCATTGCTCAAGCTCAGTCTCGCTGTGCATGCATTGGTGCCCATGGCCATGAGGTAAGTTCCTAACATAAGTGGTTCTTAGACCAGGGAACCCACAGCAGGGAAGCTCTTAACAACATTTGACCACAGTTCAACCACCGATATGATAGCACAAACCCTAGCTGTTGTGCTGCAACTCGCTCCAAGGTGTGGGGTGGTGCTTGGGGTAATAACCTTTAGCAGTTGGGTGCTGCAGAGATTGATTTGCAGGCTGAGCTGTGTAGAAACAATAAAACTCATTGGTGAGATCCGAAACGAAGCACGAGTGGGCAGGAGAAATGTCTTGGTTGCTGCCTCCATAAGCATGTCAGGGTAGCACATGTTCCACAATCCTTCCAGGGTGTTGCTTCTTTGTTCGCTGTGTTCATTATTTTCGTGGACTCGAGTGCTGATTCTGCGGTAACAGTAGTCAGATTGCACATGACAGAGTCAGCCGAGCGGTGCAGTACCAATTTCACCCTGCAGTACCAATCATGTAATTGTTCCCTTGCTGTCGATTTATTCATTATGGCCCACAACAGATAAGAAGGAATCACTCATGCACTACCAGGTGATACCCACCTTGCGTGCAAGACACTGATATGCCTACTCCCTTGTCCTGCCAGTCTTGCAGAGCAGCACTTGCACATTGAAGGCTTCATTGCTCTGGGAACCGAGTTGGCCATCAGTGCTGCTTGTGCTCTGACGTCTTGGAAACTGTACTCAACGTGCACATCCAAGAGAGACTGAAGCTTGCAGAGCGCAGCAGCTGGCGGTCTCCTTCGCTTGCTCTCTGTGGCCCTAGACGTGGCATCAGGGGAGATTAGGTATCTAGCAGCAAGGAAGTTGCACAGATGGTGCCAGGAAGGCTGTTTGCCAATACTTGCTGGGTTGTCGGCTGTTGAGTTGATGGTCAGATGGTTGAATCTCCGAATACGAACTGATGCTTTCATTTGGCATGTGGATTTGTTGACTGATCAACAGTGTGAAGGGTTGGTGATAGCTTTTCAGCCCTGATTTGCCCTTGCGCCTCATGGCACGTAAACGATCTCACACAGCACGATTCAGAACAGTGTCTGGTTGCACCTTGCGAAGTGCATGCGGACATGACAGGTCGTGCTGCAGCAAGCAGCTTGCTGCACAGATACCGTGCAGCCACAACGTCGTCAATGTCGCACAGTTTGGATGCCCACTTGGCCCTTGTGAAATTGCTTGGAATCGAGTGGAAGTTGCACATGCATAGCGCGCAATTAAGGACCAAATCCTGTGGAAACCTGTATGTGCTTTGGGGGGACCATTGTACCACCAGTATTAACCTGTGAAGAGCTGCACCTGCTTACCAAATTCCACTTCAGCTTGCAAGCTGTGAAATGACACATGCCATATATGCTGCGCACCACATACACCACGGAATTGGCTCTGACAGCGACCGACGAGCTGTTCCTTGTTGCCCGTGGCCTGTCACCACTCTCCTCCCATGCGTGCCCCTCTGAGCAGGAACTGTCATGGCCCCCGCCGCGTGTCCCCAAAGCGTGGTATTGATCCTGGCCATCTGGTGAGGGCTGTCGGCAGCACAGCTTGGATGGGCGGCATCGCCATGAACATTGGCCCTGCTCAAGTGACCCAGAACGCAAGTTAACACCATTATCCAGCGGCCGTAGAGCACTGGGGTGGAGCGCGCATCACTGCAGCTGTGTGGGTTCCGGGGCAAGCATAGGCGCTGGCCAGGGCGGAAGTATCGATGGAGGCCAAGGCAGCCTTGGCTGATCTCCTCAAAGGTCAGCTGGACTGCACACAATTTTCTACTTTGTATGACAGATGCCCATCACGATAGGGCGCACGGCAAGCCAGTTTGTACAATCGTTGTGCGTGGTCGATTCGTAACAGTGCCTTTCAGGAGGGGGTTTCCTGTGAATGTCGGTGGTGAACAACCGTGAGAGGTATCATGGCGTGCATGAGCGGAGTATTGTGTGTCCACCTGTGCCATCGCGATGGGGGGCGGAACCTGTCGATGGCTTGCACTGAACGGGCTGTTTTGAGAGCCCTGCTGATGTGTGAGGCGGACGAGGTGATGGCCATGCGTATAGCGACGAGAGGTTCACCTGAGTCGTGGTCACAGATGGATGCCGATCCATCTGTGGGGCAGGGTCGTCTGGTGCATAGCCAGAATGGCGTGGCTAGAGTATTGAAGGACTTCTTGTGCTGCTTGCATCACAAAATCATCAACGGCACGAATGCTCCCAAAGAAATGAACTCGAAATATTGTGTATAATGTCGATGTTGCTTTGAGCTAAATTGAGTATCATCTGGCCATGGACCGCGATTCGAGAGGTCTAGTACATCCGAACCCATTGCTGCATTTCCATCTGCGTCAATTTCTTTCATTGATCGCCATGATGTGCTGTATGGATGGCGTTCGGGTCGTCAATAATGGGACTCATCAGAAAAGTTAGCATCTTAATGATACCGCTCAGTGGGCGACCCATGAGGTCCATTTTCGTGAGTGTTGACAGCCTCAACACCTTCACTAATCTGACCATCATTCAACAGGCTGGTGCATAGTGAGGCAGGACGACCTGAGAATTATCAACCAGGTGCATACATTCAGAAGATTAGTGCTGTCAAGGTTGATCTAAATTTGAATTTGAAAGCATCAATTGGCTGCAAGTCAATTCTGCAACGTGGTGGTGCCATCCCTATTTCATTGAGACATATTTCAAGTGGTGTTTCCTTCACAAAGTGCATCAATAGACATTATTTGGGCCACAATTTGGCCCACCTGCGTACTCTATGAACGGAACCCCGTTTATGATGGAGGGGTTTGCCCCCCAGAGGGGTAACGTGGCTGTGTAATGGGAATATGACCCGCGGGGCATTCTGTGGCTGTTGACCGAGTGACATGGGGTGTACCAGGTTGAATTGTGGTGATATGGTGGCGTGACAGAAAGATTCCGGGGAATCAAAAGATAATTTCTCACAAAGGGGTACAAGGTTGGAGCCTTGTGCATCGCATGCATGGTGCTCCTATGGGGTAACCCGGCCAGTGACTTTTCTCACAAAAGGGTATTATGGGAAATGTTGGACGTTTTTGGTGGATATTAAATTAGCTATTGATCGCAAAGGCGCAACAGGATTGTCCAAAATGACCTGGTGGCCTCACTTTGTCCTTTTGAGTGGTGTTTCGATATTTATGAGTTCAGTATCCCACTCAGAATACGGTAGAACGGCTGTGAGTGAAAAAGCACAACAATGCTTTGACAGCACTGCCCACAAATATGGTTTTCACCGCTTTTCTATGGTCGCCTTCATGGCGAGGCACTTCTAAGCACTTTATCAGTGCTGTGAGCCTCCTGCAATACCCTCACGGCACGTGGAATGTTGCAAGCCCACGGTCAACAGCCTCGCAGCTGTGTACTCAGACTCGTTAACACTTGCACAATGCTGCGAGTAAAACAACGCAACAGAGATCCACATGACGCGCCTCCTCGGCGTGCCAGTGAGCTTATATGCAAGGTTGCAATAAGGCACATGCCTTCTCAGCGTCTCACGCAGTTTGCTGCATTTTGAGACCTGTGGTACTATCCATACCAACACAATTGGTTCAGAAAAATGGGCGTGCCTTGCTCGACACCCTGCGCCACCTTTGGTGCTTTTCCAACGTGGAACACACGTGATCACACAACCAACATGGTTGCAAAACAAGCCACTGCTCCTCGCAGGGCTGCGCAAAAACGCTCATTGGGTAGAAACATAAACAACATTGTCATTTTAGAGTTGAAGCAAGCCCCCCTAGGCATAAATGACAAGCACACAAAAGAAGGGTGCCGAAGGCTTGCCCCTTGCAGCACCAACCACAACACAGCCTACACGCACACCCAGAGACCAGGCACACCTTTCGGAAGGAAATTGGAAAGCCTTGCCAAAAACGGTCTAACGGCATTACACTTGGAAATTCGAAGCCACAACAGCTGTCCCGACTCCCAAACACAAACAAGTGGCAAGACACGCCTCCCCCCACGCCACCAGCTCAGAGAATCTAATGATACTTGCCAAATCGCCAGAATATTCTATGTCAAACACCCACAACCACTAGCCAGTCAGAACGCCATGTTGTGGGCCCTGCTATGCCGCACAACGGTCCCCAGCGCCGCCCACAGCCACCCTGATTCCTTTGCCAAATGGTAACTTCATAACAATATATGACATATATAAATCATATGTACAGTCCGGTCAATGGCCTGCGTCCCCACGCCAATCCAAACTTCTATACTATCAATTTAATCAGTGTAAAGTTTTCCAAAATGTACCACAACAACCCCAAACCAGTTGAGATCAGAAATGCACACTCAAAAGGTATAAAAGATCCTACAAAATTAACCCCAAACACCCCATTCATCATCAGATAACTTAAAAAATATACCTCTTTAATTACTATGCTTACATCATCCCGTTTCTTTCCTAAACCCCCTGCCTCGGTTTTACCCTCCGACGGAGGGCCTCCGTGGAAGCTTCCTCGAGCGTAGTCACATGGCCAGCACCTTCCTTAGGCGCTGGCTCCGGTTTGCTTCCTGCAGGGTCACCTCACTGGGTCCCGTGAGCCCAGATTCCGGTGTAAGGGGCCCCCTGAAAAAGGGGTTGAACCAGCTTCCCACAGGTTCCCCGGCGGCGTAGTCAGCCTCCCGGTACAGTGCCGCTTGGCCCTCTGGTCCTCCGCGCCCAGTTCCAATTCCTGGACCGACACCCCGAAGAGCATCGCCTTCCACTCCTCCTCGGAGGGGAAGGCGTGCCGGCGGCGCCCGCGGGCCTTTCCCCCCCGACGACCTTCCCCCGCGTGTCGCGAGCCCGACGCATCCCCTCCGCGGGGCCCACCATCCGACCCAGCGCCCCCCTCCGCGGGGAGCGCGGCCTCCAATCCCGCAGGCACACCCACCCCACCGCCCGGATCTTGGTCGAGAGCGCGGCGCAGAGCGCGGCGAGAGTTGCGGCGCGCTTGGCCGCCCTTCGCCTCTGGAACCCACACCTTGGCTTGGATGGCGACGTAGGAATCGCCATCCATTCCGACCCGGCGGTCCACGATGTGGGCCTCCCGCCATCCCCGCGGATCTGCTACCGCCGGCGAAACGGCGAGCCACTCCGCTGGCCCCCAATCGTCCGAGTACCCGCCGAAGTCCAGCTCAGAGCGAAGGGCGTTCCGCGACATGCTGCAACCCACACCAATCTCGGTCAGCGCTCCTGCGGTCAGAGCAAACGCGCGCCCGCAAGTCTGGCTGCTAGTGGGCTACTAAAGCCCCGCCAGCACCCAAGTCCGACGGTGTGCCAAGGGGATCAAACGGGATGATTCCTGAGGCTGTCCCCACGGAATTACTAAGCCAGAAACGCGTTCCACCTTTCACAGGTTTCAAATATACATAGCAGTATTAAAATTTTGGTGTACCGCCTGACATTCAACGGACTTGGGGGCCAAGCTGCTGCTAAATCAGAACATCGATTGGTGCTTTCAGAAAACTAAAAAAATGCGCCCTTGCACCTACGCACCCCCAACACATCACATGGCCAGCCCAGCCCCGTGTCACACTGACATCAAGGGAAAAGGTTCTGACCCCTGGGGGCTTTTTATAGCACATTGGCAGCTGCGCAAAATGTAGAAAAGAAAGTGGTGCTACACACAAACACTTTAAAGACAAAACAACCCTTTTCAAGGGTCTGACAAAAGCAGTAAGCCCCCCTCCCATTCAGAACACAATGGATGG